AATATGGAACGCTTCACGAATTTGCGTGTCATCCTTGCGCAGGGGCCATGCTAATCTTCTCTGTATCGTTCCAATTTTAGTATATGTGCTGCCGAAGCGAGCACTGGATTGCCTTGTTTTAACAAAACAACACGATGTCATTACTTTGAGAAGGAGAGCAGTATAGGAATAAAATCTGAGATTAGACCTCCTGCACTGACAGCTTTACTGGTAGCTAATTGTGACACTGAATGAGAAACCTGTGCCTCATTTTCTTCATCTGTGTCTGTAAATTGACAGTACTAATAATATCTTCCTTGTAAGGTGGTTGTGTTGATTAGATGACTTGAGCCTTGTTGTGAGTGCTTAGCATGGTGCTTGGCATATAGCCAGTTGCTTACCAGGGCAGGCATTTGGCCTAGCAGTTAAGGCACTGCTTAAGATGCCCATATTGGAGTACCTGGGTTTGATCCCCAGTTCCAGTTACTGACTCCAAATTCTTGACAGTACAGACCTTAGGAGGCTGTGGTGATGACTCAAGTAATGGGGTTCCTGTCACCCACATGGGAGATCTGGATTGAGTTCCCAGTTTTAGTTTTGGCCCAGGCTCGGTGCTGGATGTAATGGGCATTTGGAGTGAACCAGATACTGGGAGCTCCCTCTCCCTCTTTGTCTCTTTCTCCCTCTATAACTCAAATAAACTAAAATTTGAAAGGAAAAGAAAATAGTACTTACTAAATGTCAGCTTTTATAACTAACATAATTATAATCCTCACTTAAAGATGGAGAAACAAAAGCTTAGAGAGAGGGGCTGGCTCTGTGGTATAGCGGGTGAAGCCACTGCCTGCAGTGCTGGCATCCCATATGGGCGCCAGTTCCAGTCCCAGCTGCTCCACTCCCCATCTAGCTCTCTGCAATGGCCTGGGAAAGCAGTAGAAGATGGCCCAAGTCCTTGGGCCCTTACACTTTCCCAGAGGAAGCTCCTGGCTCCAGGCTTCGGATTGGCTCAGCTCGGGTCATTGTGGCCATTTAGGGAGTGAGCCAGTGGATGGAAGACCTCTCTCTCTCTGCCCCTGCCTCTCTGTAAATCTTTTAAATAAGTAAATAAATCTTGAAAAAAAAAAAAAAAAAAGCTCAGAGAGAGGTAAAATAATGTGCGTAAGTCATACATTGTAGAAATGTTGGAAACAGAGTTGGTACCCAGGCAAACTCCAGAGCTTTTATTTTTAACCATTGTACTGTCTCACCTTAGTAGCTGTTGGGAAGAGACTGAATCTTGTTGAACTTGAGGTGAGTGTAGAAGTCAAAGTCAGGCTTAGATTTCTGACTCACCTGAAGAATGTTCACTTGTGATCTTAAACATCTTATCACCATAGCATGTGTCTTGATTCTCCAAACTGACTTTTTCCTAGATCCAGATAAATGAATGTGTGATAGGTTGGTTGTCTTCTGCTGCTGAGGGATTGAGTGTTCCTTGAGCCAGAAACTGGACTTAAATAAATACCTTTGGGCCCGCTTGTCTGGTGTCATTGTTAAGCTTGTCTGTCTTCTTAGCGTAGCTGGTGATGATGAGGGGAAGCAGAGCAGTGTACGTATTTGGAACATTTTATGTTGCTGTGTCCTTTACATGGATTATTTTATTTGATTCTTAAGTAACTTTGTAAGAAGGGTTAGGGAACTTGCTTAGAATTACGGTGAGTGATAGAACTGGCATTTGAATACAGTGGTCTGGCTCCAAAGTCCATGGTCTTAACCTTTGTGTTCTGCTTTTAGTCTTCTCTGACCAATGTGAGGCTAGTACAGATTAAGTATCTCTTATTCAAAGTGCTTGGAATCAGAAGCATTTTACATTTTGGAACATTTTAAACTTTAGATTAATCTGTGTGGGCTGTGTGGCATGAAAGGTAGTAGGGCCAGTTTTGTTTTTCCTATCCGAAAATGGGAAGATTTTTAACTATCAGACCAGGAATAAGGAGGCTTATGATCTTGTCTTGATCCTGTCACCAGTTTATCCAGGACATCATTTTTCTTAGCCTTTTTGTCATTATTAATTAAACAAAGGGGTTGTTGTAGATGCTATCTGAGGTCCCTTTGAACTCTGATGTTCTGTTATTGATAAGGAGAATAATACCTGCTCAGCTCTGTCATTTTGGGGCGGTGGTATTCATGAGGTCCATGGAAGTATGCTTTGTGCAGGGAAGATGCCAAATCCCAGGGTTAGGGATGAGCTGCCTCCCTGAAGAAGGTAAATCTGGGCTCTTTTTAAAGGCTGGTTGCCAAGGGAACTCAGTCTCTTGGCCAGCAACAGCCAGGAATGCTTTAGTTGAAACTTTAGTACAGATGACTAAAGCAAGCAGCTCATTTAGGTTTCATTCTCTGCTTCCTCCCTGCCCCCCACCCCTTCCTTTTCCCTTTTCTTTTCAAGTTGCTAGTTTTCAACAATTTCATATATTGGGTGCTATTTAAAGTACTCAGCAAAGTATCCTGTCATTTAATCTTTTTTTTTTTTTATTTTTTTATTTTTTTTTTTTTTATTTTTTTATTTTTTGACAGGCAGAGTGGACAGTGAGAGAGAGAGACAGAGAGAAAGGTCTTCCTTTGCCGTTGGTTCACCCTCCAATGGCCGCCGCGGCCGGCGCGCTGCAGCCGGCGCACCGCGCTGATCCGATGGCAGGAGCCAGGAGCCAGGTGCTTTTCCTGGTCTCCCATGGGGTGCAGGGCCCAAGCACCTGGGCCATCCTCCACTGCACTCCCTGGCCACAGCAGAGGGCTGGCCTGGAAGAGGGGCAACCGGGACAGAATCTGGCGCCCCGACCGGGACTAGAACCCGGTGTGCCGGCGCCGCTAGGCGGAGGATTAGCCTATTGAGCCGCGGCGCCGGCCCCTGTCATTTAATCTTTACAGCAATGTTTTGAGATGGGACAGTTAACTGTTTTAAATTAATAGATAATGAAATTGAGGTAAATTGAGTCAAATATCATGTTCATATTTACTCAAGTAGAATATATTATCAAACCTGTATTTTTAGTTACTTGGTTGTCCTTCCTGGGTGATTCTTAAAAAAATATAAGCAGAAGGAGGAACCATTAATAGTGTTTTTTGTTTGTTTTCTTTTGGTTTTGGTTTTGTTTTACTTAGGATGGTAGAGTTTTTTATTTTTAAGGTTTATTTATTTGAAGGCAGAGTTACAGAGAGGGAGGGAGGGAGGAAGGGAGAGAGAGAGAGAGCCCTTCTTTTTTTTAAAAAAATTTTTTTTTTTTTTTTGACAGGCAGAGTGGACAGTGAGAGAGAGAGAGACAGAGAGAAAGGTCTTCCTTTGCCGTTGGTTCACCCTCCAGTGGCCGCCACGGCCAGCGCGCTGTGGCCGGTGCACCACACTGATCCGAAGGCAGGAGCCAGGTGCTTTTCCTGGTCTCCCATGGGGTGCAGGGCCCAAGGACTTGGGCCATCCTCCACTGCACTCCCTGGCCACAGCAGAGAGCTGGACTGGACGAGGGGCAACTGGGACACAATCCGGTGCCCCGACCAGGACTAGAACCCGGTGTGCCGGCACCGCAAGGCGGAGGATTAGCCTAGTGAGCCGCAGTGCTGGCCGAGAGCCCTTCTATCCACTGGTGCACTCCCCAGATGGCTGCATTGGCCAGGGCTGGGCTAGGCTAAAACCAGGAGCCATGAGTTTCAACTGGGTCTCCCATAAGGGTGCAGGGGCTCAAGGACTTGGGCCATCATCTGCTGCTTTCCCTGGTGCATTAACAAGGAGCTGGGTGGGAAGTGGAGCAGCTGGATCTGGGACTGGAACTGGTGCCCATATGGCTGTTGGCACCACAGGCAGCAGCTTTACCTTTTGTGCCACAGTGTCAGACCCAGGATGATAAACTCTTTAATTTTTATTTAAGAAGCAGAGAAAGAGCTCCCATAATGGTTCATCATCTCCAAATGGCTGTGGTTGCCAGGATTGGGCTGGCTGAAGCCAAGATCCTGGAACTGATTCCAGATGACCCATGAGGGTAGCAGGAACTCAATTAGTTGAGTCATTACCACTGCCTCCTAGGGTCCAAATTCGTGGGAAGCTGAAGACAGGTGCTGGAGTTGGTCTTTGAACCAAGGCCCTCCTGTGTAGGACAGGGATTGGTTCACTCCCACCATGGCTGGCGCTGCACCGATCCAAAGCCAGGAGCCCAGTGCTTCCTCCTGGTCTCCCATGCGGGTGCAGAAGCCCAAGCACTCGGGCCATCCTCCACTGCCTTCCTGGGCCACAGCAGAGAGCTGGACTGGAAGAGGAGCAACTGGGACTAGAACACGGTACCCATATGGGATGCTTGTGCCGCAGGCGGAGGATTAACCAAGTGAGCCACAGCGCCAGCCCTGGACAGGGATGTTTTAACCACTAAACTAAACACTGCATTGGAACAATAGACTCTTAGAGCTGGAAAGAGCCTGTAAGGTAATTTAATACAATATTCCGGGTCTCCATTATGCTATTTGGTTACAGAAATGCTTTCTAGGCCGGCACCATGGCTCACTTGGCTAATCCTCTGCCTGTGGTGCTGGCACCCCCCAGGTTCTAGTCCCGGTTGGGGCACTGGATTCTGTCCCAGTTGCTCCTCTTCCAGTCCAGCTCTCTGCTGTGGCCCAGGAAGGCAGTGGAGGATGGCCCAAGTGCTTGGGCCCTGCACCCGCTGGGAGACCAGAAGGAAGCACCTGGCTCCTGGATTCAGATTGGCACAGCGCGCCGGCCGTAGCTGCCATTTTGGGGGGGTGAACCAACGGAAAGGAAGACCTTTCTCTCTGTCTTTCTCTCTCTCTCTCACTGTCTAAATCTGCCTGTCAAAAAAAAAAAAAAAAAAAATGCTTTCTAATGTTCCCCCAACAAATGATCATTCCAATTCTATGTGAATATATCTGAAGATGAGGTGGTCATCACTTCTTGAGAACATTATTTGCTTGTTAATAGCTCTTATTGGTAGAAAGTTATGTGTGTTTTGAACTGAAATCTAATTGAAACTTCTCATTAATTTTAGGCCAGTCTCGTGGACTCATACAAGGTAAATATAATCCATCTTCCACATGCCAATCTTGTGAACTTTCCTGTTTATAAGACATATTTACAGTTTTGTCATAGCATTTAAACTTGCTTTCAGTTCAGAGCTATCTGCACAGAAAGAATCTTTACCTTTCACTAGTTTGCAAATGCATCCTAACAGATCTGTGTTCCCTTTCTTAGGATTATCTAGGCATAAAATGGTCCTTCCCCACATACTTGGAGAATGAATGAGTGAACAAGGTTTTCAGTCTCTTATGCTTGTAGTTGCTTGGAGGTGAGGTTGCTGCCCTGCACACTGAGCTCACAAAATGGCTGGAAGTTTATCCGGGCACTTGAGGAACTGCATTTCCTTCATCAGACCACTAGGTGATGAACCAACTCATGATCCCAGACTGCCAGAGCCTTGTCTACAGAATAGTTTGTGCTGAGAAAGGCCATCAGAAGTCATCTGGTCCAACCTCATTAAGAGTTTTTTTTTCTGGGAGAGAAAACATGTGTTTCTTGTGTATTTTGTATTTCTCAGTTCTGTCCCAATTTTAATTATTAATCTGGGACTTTTTTTTTTTTTTGAGTGATTTTCCTAGAAGAGGGGCATGGGTAATACTTTCACAGTCTATTTGTCCAATTTTTTTTTTTAAGATTTATTTTATTTATTTGAAAGGCAGAGTTACAGAGAGAGAGAAGGGAAGAGAGAGAGATCTTCCATCTGCTGATTCACTCCCCAAATGGCTATAGCAGTTGGGACTAGGCCAGGGCGAGGCCAGGAGTCAGGATCCAGGATCCAGGAACTTTATCGGAGTCTCCCACATGGGTGCAGGGGCCCAAGGACTTGGGTCATCTTCCGCTGCTTTCCTAGGGAGTTGGATTGGAAGTGGAGCAGCTAGGACATGAACTGGTGCCCATATAGGATGTTGGCATTGTAGGTAGCTTAACTCGTTACACCAGAATGCTGCCCCTCCTCCCCACCGTGGTTTTATATTTATTTTATTTATTTGAAAGGCAAGAGTTAGAGGGAGAGACAGTGTCCAATTTTTATAAAATCTTCATTGATGTCTTGGTTCAGTTTAGGATTCCCTTTTTTTTTTAAGTTTATTTATTTTCATTTTATTTGAAAAACTGTGAGGTCTTCCATTCTCTGGATTTGAAAGACAGAGAGATTGTCCATTCCCTGGTTCATTCCCTAAATGCCCACAACAGCTGGGCTGGGCCAAGCCAAAGCCAGGAACCTGGATCCTAATCTGGGTCTCCCACATGGCTGCCATAGACCTACCACTTGAACTATCAACCTGTTGTCTTCCAGGGTACATATTAGCAAGAAGCTAGAAGCGGAAGCAGAGCCAGAACTTGAACCTAGAAACTTTAATATGGTATACAGCTTCTGAAGAGCATCTTTTTTTAAAACATTTATTTGTTTGAAAGTCAGAGTTACAGAGAAGGAGAGGCAGAGGCAGAGAGAGAGAAATCTTCCATCTGCTGGTTCACTCCCCAGATAGCCACAATGGCCAGGACTGGGACAGATTGAAGCCAGGAGCCAGGAGCACAACCAGTTCTTCCATTTGAATGGCAGGAGCCCAAGCACATGAGCCATCTGCTGTTGCTTTCCCAGGTGCATTAGTAGAGAGCTGGATTGGAAATGGAGCAGCTGGGACTCCGAACTGGCTCCCATATGAGATACTGGCATTGCAGGTAGCGGCTTTACCCACTATGCCACAGCACCAGCTCCTAAAATGGTATCTTAACAAGTTCACCAAATGCCTGCCCAAGGTTTACAATTTTTGATACCAGACATAGTCTTTATATAAAGTATATAAGATATTTCCACTGTCTTGAATTTCTGGTGTTGTAAATGAAAAATCCAGTGCCAGTAGGATTCTTTTTCCTTTGTAAATAGTAGCCTGTTCTCTCTAGAAGCTTGTGAATTTTTTATTTATACCAAGAATTTCACCATAGTATGCTAAGATGTGTTTCTTTTTGAAATAACCCTGCTGGGTACCTGTTGAGCCTTTTAGACTTAGGAACTTAAAAGTCTGTTTTTCGTTCTGGGACATTTTATTATTCTCCTTCCTTTTGTTTCTAGCCTCCTTACTCTACAAATGAGGAAACAACTCAGCCCAGAGAGGTGAAGTGACTTGCCCCAGGTCAAACAGCTAGTCACAAATGAACCTCAAGCAAATAGTCTGGCTCCTTTGATGAACTAAACTTTTTTTTATATTGAATATTGCTCAGTGAGAGAGCCATTATAAACAACTTAGACAGTTTTTGACAAATTTTGCCAAAGGGGCCAGTGTGGTGGTGCAGCAGACTAAGCTGCTGCTTTTTATGCCAGCTTTCCATATTGGAGAGCTGGTTCAAGTCCTGACTGCTCTGCTTCCAGTCCAGCTCCCAGCACCTGAGAAAGCAGCGGAGGCTGCCACAAGTACTTGGGCCCCTGCCACCCCATAGGAGGACCCAGATGGAGTTATAAATAAATTTTTTGTTGAAAAAAAAAAAAACACTTTGCCAAGGGTTTTTGGGGAGATGAAAAAAGGAGGAATTGCTAAATTCATTACAATTAAAACTTAACTTATTTGAAGAACTGAAGAATTCACAAGTCTCCTGGTTTCTCAGTTACTAAAGCTCTCCCTAAGGTCTAAAATGGGTAGAAACATTATTTGGTCTGGCCCTACCAAAGCAACTGCAGGCATGACTCAAAATTCAATAAATATTGTGTGCTAATTTTTTTTTTTTTTTTTTTTTTTTTTTTTTTTGACAGGCAGGAGTGGACAATGAGAGAGAGAGACAGAGAGAAAGGTCTTCCTTTGCCGTTGGTTCACCCTCCAATGGCCGCCGCGGCCAGCGCGCTGCAACCAGCGCACCGCGCCGATCCGATGGCAGGAGCCAGGTACTTCTCCTGGTCTCCCATGGGGTGCAGGGCCCAAGGACTTGGGCCATCCTCCACTGCACTCCCTGGCCACAGCAGAGAGCTGGCCTGGAAGAGGGGCAACCGGGACAGAATCCGGTGCCCCGACCAGGACTAGAACCTGGTGTGCCGGCGCCACAAGGCGGAGGATTAGCCTGTTGAGCCGCGGCGCCAGCCTGATCCCTGTTCTTAAAGCTGGCATCTGCACCCATGTCCCTCATGTATGGCTGTATCCCTTTCTGGGGTGGTGGACCAGGCTGAAGGATTGGTGGGGCCAAGGATTCATGACAGAATGTGGAATTAAGGATTTTGGTGTTAACATTTCTTTTCTTTTCTTTTCTTTTTGTTTGACAGAGTTATAGACAGTGAGAGAGAGAGAGAGACAGAGAGAAAGGTCTTCCTTCCATTGGTTCACCCCGCAAGTGGCTGCTATGGCTGGCACTGCACCAATCTGAAGCTGGGAGCCGGGTGCTTCTCCCTGGTCTCCTATGCGGGTGCAGTGGCCCAAGCACTTGGGCCATCCTCCACTGCCCTCCCGGGCCACAGCAGAGAGCTGGACTGGAAGAGGAACAACCAGGACTAGAACTGGCGCCCATATGGGATGCTGGCGCCGCAGGTGGAGGATTAACCAAGTGAGCCATGGTGCCAGCCCCTTGGTATTAACATTTCAGATGCAGGCAGATGGGAAGCTGGAAGATGAAAATGAGCATCAAGGTCAGTGGAGGGTGGGAGGAACAGAGAACATTTAGTATCTGAAGTGAAAGATATCCTTTGTAGACTGCCTCTTCTGGTTTTTCTTTTATGAAAAAAAATATTTTGAAGACTACTGGATAGAGAATGTAGTAAAAATCTTTTTTAAAAAAGATTTATTTATTTATTTGAAAGTCAGAGTTACACAGAGAGAGAAGGCGAGGCAGAGGGAGCGAGAGTGAGAGAAAGAGAGAGGTCTTCCATCCACTGGTTCACTCCCCAATTGGCTGCAATGGCCGGAGCTTCACAGATCTGAAGCCAGGAGCCAGGAGCTTTCTCCAGGTCTCCTACGTGGGTGTAGGGACCCAAGGACTTGGGCCATCTTCTACTGCTTTCCCAGGCCATAGCAGAGAGCTAGATGGGAAGTGGAGCAGCTGGGTCTCGAACTGGCGCCTATATGGGATACCGATGCTTCAGGCCAGGGCTTTAACCTTCTGCGCCACAGCACCAGCTCCAATAAATAATCTTTTAAAAATGCTTATTTATTCTGAAGTCAGAATGAGAGAGAGGTCTTTCATCCACCAGTTTACTCAACAAATTCAACAGCTAGTGCTGGGCCAGGCCAAAACCAGGAGCCGGGAACTCCATTCAGGTCTCCCATGGTGGGTGGTGGGGACCAAGCACTTGAGCCATGTGGAGGCAAGTCTTGATCCCAGGTACTCTGATATGGGATGCAGGTATCCAAAGTGTCAGCTTAATCCACCATGCCATAATGCCTACCCCAACATATAATCTTTTATAAAAAGAAAATATGAAATCATTGTTGATAATATTTTAACTACTACTGGCTTTTCCCCATCCCGTCACCTGCCACTATTTCAATTATTCTGTATTCTTTCAGAGATGACATGTTAGTGATTTGGAATGTACCTTCTAGACCTTTTTCTATGTATTTCCATATAGGTATATGAGCACAGAAAAATTTAAAGGTTGTTTTGTTTTACTTATTTATACAAATAATATCACATTTTATATAGCATTCAGATATTTGCTGCTTTGATTCAATAATGTATCTTGATAGTATTCCATGTTCTTAAAGATATATCTTACTCTTTTAACTGTTGTATAGAATTTCATGGAATGCGTATATGTGTTTTATTTAGCTATTTTCCTATGGAGAAAAATTAAGGCATTTCCAGCTTTTGTTCTTTAGAAGTGATCCTTGCGTTTTCTTTTTTTAAAAAAAGGTTTATATTATTTATTTGAGAGCCAGAATTACAGAGAGAAGGAGAGACAGAGATCTTCCATCTGCTGGCTCACTCCCTAAATGGCCGTAACCATGGGCTGGGCCAGGCCAAAGCCAGGATCCAAGAGCTTCGTCTGGGTCTCCCTTTCGGGTGCAGGGGTCCAAG